AGTTATCATCCGATTATGTTATTCTTTATACTGTTTTCAGAGCTCATCACAAACAGTTACTACATCTTGCTTCTTCGCCCGACATCGCAATGAAGTCTCCGATGACGCCGAGAACTTTAGAGCTTTTCAAACAAAACAGTGGAAATGGCTTGCTAGATTTATTAGCTCCTGAAGTTTTCTACCAGATTATGATTAATCTTGAGCCTCAAGACATCAGGATGTGCATGTGTGTTTCCAAGAAATGGAAGGTGAGCAAGATTCCCTTGACAAAAGGCCGGCAAGCATTATAAAGGACAATACTGTGGGTATTTTAACTCTCAGTGCTTAGCGAATTCGCACTATGCCCTGCTAACCACCTGTTCTGCAGACCACCGCACGCCACCGACTACTTTTGTCATTTCTAGGGATTAGTCATTGACAGAAAACTTAGGAAAATGGGTGTCCTATTCTTCGCACATGCAGCTAAAGACCAACCATTCTCAATCAGTGGGATGTGTCGAAAACGAAGACCCAAAAACGAAGACCGAAGACCTAAGACCCTGTGGTCTAAAACGANTTGGCTCGCATGCAGACTTTACCTAACATGAAGGCCGTATTTTGGCTTGGTATTATGGTTTTAACGCAAATATCTCGATCAAGCTATCAAAAATCCTGCTCATCCCACATATCTACGTTTTGGGCTGTTTTGTAAATTGTTTGGTGATTTTTGGGTATATTTGGGGATAAATAGTTTTTCTCAAAGGATTAGTGCAATTTATGGAAATAGGAAATTTTGAAGATTTGATGTTGTTTTAAAATTAGAATTTGAAGTTAAAAATTGGTAGACCTCAGCACCAAACAGTTGTCCACCAACCTGGGGTACCTTTACGGGGGCGTTCAATCGTCTGGTGGTGTTCCAAAACGTCCTTCTTCCTTTTAATCCCTCTTTAAATTTCCTAAAATTTTACTTCATGTTAAACCCCCCCCCCTTAAATAGAGAAAAACCGTATATAAGACAATCAGATCCCCGCGGATTTTCAGCACCACAAGCCGATTGACCACTAAAATATTATATATATTGTATATTTTAACCAAACTCAATTTTTCTTTCTTGAGCAGATTCTACACTTACTGGCCTCTGTCCTCGTATCAGTTTTGTCCTCTCCAATACCATATTCATGCAGTAGAAAAATCCATCCAAAGAAAGCTCTGAAGCGTATAAAAGAGAAAAACTATATTATTATGGAAAACGCTTTAGTGGGTGTTGAATCGACACGCGAAGAAGTGCTGCGAATGAAACCATTTACAAGGAAGCGACGTGACGTCAGACAACCACGTGAAGCGTCCGAGCTACAGGGAGCATCGCCATGTCAGTGGAAATGGGGATTCACCAGAAAAAGGCCAAATGAGATTCCCTCAACCCTCACACGGGCCATTTGTCCGGGCTGTTTACACTACTGTAAAGCTATAAGGTACTCAATGAGAGTCTTAGCTAGAGATGGATGTGATCCAAAGAGTGGACTGACAATCTGGAGATGGAAACTACGAGAAATAACCATTGCCTATGTTTACACAGGAAATAGTTAATCCGATCAAAATCCAACTTCTCCGAACAATATCAAAACACTGCCACGCATGTAAGTATTAAGAGTGGAAAAAACCATCAACAAAAAAGGCTAATGCCAGTTGAAGTGTCTCGCAATTCTCAGAACTAGATCTTAAGAAACGTTTGACGGGAAGTAGTAATGATAATTAATTACTTATATTGCGCCTTTTAACATGCAATGATCAAAGGCGCATTACATCATATATTCCGAAAATTATATAATAAGTAATGAGAATTTATATTTCGAGTCAGGAGAACTGAAAGTGGAAATCCTAGTTTCCACGAAATAATCTATGAACAAACTTGCAATATAACAAATGAACAAACTTGTAATATCACGACAAATTTCATTAAGGAAACAAACTGAGTAATTATTCGAAAATGATATTCAAATTGCACGGCAGCTTGTTAAGTTGTAAATATTTCACGTTGAGTAGTGCTAGATATGAAAAGTATTGCTCAGTGAACTGTTAGATGTGCAGGTTATTGCCGAGTGAGAGTTGTCAACCAGGATTATGTAGTCACAATGTGACGCAAAGTAAAGTAGGAATTCTTCCTTTTTTTTTTTTAAATACACGATGTTAGTTAAAAAGACAGCTACAGTTTTAGTTGGCCACTTGTTTGAAGTTATTCATATTTGTAAAGATTTAAATCTATTTGAAAAGTTTTTTAAAAACACTATTTATTACGAACCTATTTATTCAGGCAGAAAACGATGTAATTAAATTATACTATATTGATGAAGGGAATTTTATATTTTTATAAAGTTCGGGCAAGTAATGATACATTTTGTACAAAGTATATTTTACACAGAAGCTTGAATGAAAAGTTAATCAATGGTCAAATCTTGTAGTGTCAGTGTAAATCTTTGGTATAGACTCTACAGTTTTAGTGGTATAGTTTTTTGGTATACCCAATCAAATTATTGCCTCTTAAACACTACCTTGAACCTACTTCTTCACTGTTTGACGCGTTTTCAAGTTTATTACAGTTTTATACGATTGGTTCAAGGTGGCCTCATGGTTAGTACGCTCGTCTCTGGATCGAGCTGTCTGGGTTCGAGCACTGGGCAATACATGTTACTCTCAGAGTGCCTCTCCCCGCCCAGGTGTATAAATGGTTACCGGCTAATTTAATGCTGGGGGTAACCCTGCAATGGACCGTAGCATCCTATCCAGGGGTTGGGGGTTGGGGGTGGGGGGTGGGGGTAGAAATACTCCTACTCACTTCATGCTACAGAAACCAAGATCAGCTCCGGCTTGATGGGCCTCTTAGTTCTTATGCAGACTTTACCTTTTTTCACATTAGAAAGAAAAGTACCTGCAGAAATCAAGAGACCATGATCTAAGGTCTCTCGCCGAGATATTTTATTCATTTTTTTTTCTGCTCTTGCTTGATCAGTGCTAGGATTGAGTCGAAAAACTTTAATCGACGTTGATCTAGATCTCATTTAATCCAGGAACCCAGCTGGAGCCCAGTCAACTCAACCTGCTTTTGCGCCGTTTCTTCGCGTTCGCAAAGTGACAGATACAATCATGACAGAAGCAAGCTCTATCGGAGCGTCTTGTGACTGACTGTCCGAAATATTTATTTCTTTTATTTTTTTATTTCCTCTTTTTTCTTCTTGCATTTTTGATTTCATTATTCTTTCTCAAAATATTCTGTTTTGTTGTTGTTGTTGTTGTTGTTTTTTTGTAGCTTTTTAAGATTGGATGGATACTAGCTTCGTGCTGAATGGGTTACCCTGGTAAAATAAACTACTTACTTACTTTACTTACTGTCATCATGTCGTGTGAATAGCTAGGGAACAGAGAGATGGAGAAAACAGGAAACAGTGAACAGTGGGGAAACAGTGCTTTTCAGATCGAGTTTTAGTAGAATTCTACTCGTAGACTAATGCAAATGCTGCAATAGGATTGGCTGAGATATCATACATGGCACTGCCAAATACGCCTGGTTCTCATATGCCGCTGACATACCTAGAACACTGTTACGGCATATGTGAACATTTATCACCGAATCATAATCTGCCCCAGGCATTGACCGCAGGCTTGTATGCGAAGTTGAGCTGAGTTCAACTTCGCAGGCAAGCCGGCGATTGTCGGCGATGAAGATATTTTATGTGAACATCATCTGGACCATCTCCAGACGCGATGTATGGCGTTGCAATGCGATTTTTCCCACAATTGCTTACTTTACAGATAGAATGGTTGAAAATTGCGCCAATTCGATTTGCATTTCGCGCCAATTTGAGTACGTCGGCGATCCATGGCAGATGCGCCGGGACCCACTAGGCTTATCGCTGGACAACGTTGTCACTTGCATGCAACCGGCGACTACATCGCAGGTAGGTCGGCGGCATATGAGAACCAGGCTTTACTTTTTAAGACTTTAAGGCGGTTTGTTATTTTAAAAATTGCACAAACTTGACTATAAAATGTAAAATTTTCCGTTGTACCTGAAGAAGGCTGCTTTGGCCAGCCGAAATATAGTACACCTTCAAAAAATCATCCTACGTTGTGTCGGTTTTTGCTTTTGTATTCTTCACAAACTTGAAATAGACTTAAAAAATTAAGGGCCCATTAACCGATTCATGCGCGCGCTCGCGCGCGTTGCTATGGAGGTGAAATTTCACTTCCGGTTATTTACGTCAGCCTGAGCGCGTAAAATAAAAACAACTCAAGAACTTGCAAATTCGCTTACATTTAAGATGTTTTTCTTTGTGTTTCACAAAATGCAAAGTAAAAAAAGTACAAGCAAAGGCAAAATAAGAGAAAGACAGAAAAAGAAGAGCAATAGAAAGAGAAAAACTAACTCCATGTTGCTTTGTTTCATCTTACCGAAGTGCGCTGATAGGGTAACTTCCAATATATATCGGGCGCACTTCCGGTTTCTTTAAATGGTGAAGGAAACGCGGTTTTATATTGAATCCAGCCTTTTTCGACGAATTTCGATTCAAACCAACGTTGGGAACATAGCTATGCATTCCTTTTTCGAAATCACGCTTTTTCCAGAAAATTACGAATTTTTCAATATTTTGAAATTCTCTCAAAATCTGACCTTTTAGAAATGAAACAAAATCTATGCATAGCGTAATGAGGATTTAAATAAAAATATTAACTCAATGAAAAAAATCCCGATAAAGTAATTTGCCTGGGAGCCTTTGCATTTTTTATTAGTCACATGGCCAAGGGCGTCGCCTGATGACGTCATCACTGGTACTACTGATCATGAAAAAGTTAAAACACATGAAATAACTCTGAACTAACTAAAAATGATGAGGTTATATGAGAGTAAATTTTCCTTAGCAACGGCTCGAAAAGATCGGTTAGTGGGCCCTTAAACTAAAGCAATGAAACTAGAACATGGACGGCTAGGCTACCATCATGAACGCGATTTTTAAATTCAAGCAATGTTTATCTTACATAGCGTGTATACAATTAGCAAATAGAGGGTGGTTTAGCGTTGTCTGTACTCTTATCGACAACGATATGCGTCATCACTTTGGTCAAAATGTTGTGGACTCACTAGGCACAACCGAGTGAGTCCACAACAAAGTTTGACCACTGTGATGACGCATATCGTTGTCGATAAGAGTACAGACAACGTTAAACCACATCCGATTTGTTTTTTACCACAATATCAACGTCAAAGAAAAGTATTTTTTTTAAGAGCGTGAACAAGAGCGTGGCACATTGACGCGAGCAGCGTTGTCTGGACTCTTATCGACAACGGCAAATTAGCCAATCAGATTGCGAGATTAGTAGCAATTGTGGTAAAATAAACAATTTAGAACTAAAATTCTTAATTTCGTTACTTTGCTTGTTTTCGATCGAAAATTTATTATTTCTGTTTCTGTTTATGAAAAACCAAGTAAATTATAAGATATTCCCCGGTCAGAGAACTGCTTGATACTTTTTTAAAGCTTCGATCCCTAGCTTCTTGATTTCCAAATTTCTGTATATACATTTTTTCACTTTCTCTATTGTCTTCGGAATGATCATCGGCACACGAGAAATGGGAAGACTTGACCGTTTTCAATTAGGTCCGCTGGCAATTTTTAGAAGAGTAGTGAGAAAAATACGTCGCACATTACGTCTTGTTGCGTGTGTCGTGAAAGGTTTGAAGTGCGCAAAATGGTCACAGGTGTAAGTCTTCATGCACTCAGGTTTGGTTTGATCAGTTTCGACCAAAATAGCGGCCTCTAATTCTTTGCGTTTTCGAAGTGCCTGTGAAGAGGATTTAGATAATTTACTAGTCGAGGTTCAGTTCTTTCGACTAAAACAATCAGATTATTCTTTCTTGATTTCCGATAGTTGGCACCGGCTGCACATTAGCAAAGTGTTACGCGATAGAATTATCGAGCTCATAATCTAATTGTTAGCTCAGCCGATCAAAATGTTAACTGTGAAATACTGAAGTGTTAACTATTTAAAAAATAAATGAATAAATAATCACGGAAGAGCACCTGAGGACAGAAAATTACGCGTTTCTTTCGATTACCAAAATGTAAGTTCTCTTTGCTCGCGCATCATCACGTCAACAGCTCCCATTTGGCACGGCCTGTGATTCTAACAAATATTATCAGAAAGGAACGGCTTTTAGCGCATGCTCCGTACAGGTAGCATACAGGTCATTTTCTCGTTATCGTTTCATTGATTCTTTAGGTTTTTGGTGGTCTGGCATTTCAATACAGGATATAAGTTAGCAAAGGTAAAAAAAAAAAATTATTTAACGTATGGCCGTTTTGGAAACAAATATTGTTTGCAAATTAGGTTTAAAAAGTGTCCTCATCCAGTCCTGCTTTTCACGTTGTACAGCCTCCGTCATGCGATAGAGTATTTATCTGGTGCAAAGCGTTTCTTAATGAGTTAATGCATATCAAAATTTCCTCTTTTCTTTCCATTTTCTGCATTATCAGATGTAGGAGATTATATAATGTGTGAACAAGGCGCGCTTTCAACATAGTTCGGGAGCCCTCTGTCATGTTAGTGTTGAAACTGATGTCTTCCTCGCTTCGTGTAATGTGGGAAGCTTTTCCTCCAGAAGAAGAACACGCTATATCTAACAGATCTGACGTCTTCTGAACTTTTATGTCAGTTCTTTGACTGGCTCGGTGGTCTACTGCGTCTTCGCTTTGTAATTTAGAAGAAGCTGAAAGCTCTTCCAAACTTTGCGTTTTCGTTGCTGTATTTTTTGGCAAGCTTCCTTTTACAGCGAATAATGGATTGGGCATTGTCTGAGCTCTTGGTCTCATCGGGTTCTGGCGAGAAGCAGGAATGGGTTTCGATTGTGAAGTATCCATAGCAACGTTTTCGTTTAAGAGTGATTCACATCTACGGTGTTCCGAATTAAGGCGGGCAGACTTTGCAAACGTGGAGGGCATGTTCAGAGTAGCTGAACGACTCATCCTCTTCAAATTCACTGATGGATAACTGTTCGTCCTGTAAAGCGACGACAAGGGGAATTCTTGCGTGGATGTGTTCTGATTTGGCGTCGATCCTTCTGCTTTGCTGCTCCCTAGGTTTAAAGATGAACACTGCTCCGTGATGTGAGGTGTGGTAGCCTCCTTCATTTCAGGGGAGTTGGACAAACCACTACGGTTGCCAATGCTCTTTTTATCTTCGCTGAATGCTTCTCTCCTCGGACCTTGGGGTGCAGCTTCTAAACAATCGTCAATCTGACCAAATTGAGAATGTACGAAGTTTCTGACTTTTTCCTCCATGCAGAACGGTAGGCAACAGTAGAGGTCCATGCAGGACTCAGAGTGTTTTGAAGCCAGAGACTTCATTTGTTGACACACAGAGCAGTTTTCCCTTTTGCATCCCTGGGAGTGTTTCAACGCCAGCTTCATGTTCACGCAATGTGGGAGTAAACATTCTGCATTTACACAACTTAATGTATGCTGCAGGAACTGTTGGAAATTTGGAAACCGTCCCTTTTCATTTATTGGAAGTCTAGTATTACTTGCGTCTTTAAGCTGTTTTTCTGCCATCGTTGAATCCAGGAAGGAATCTAGTGAAGCAAACATATCTTCGTTAAGATTTTTACCGCTAGCTTCATTTAAAATTTGAAATAAACTGATTCTAAATATTTTGAATAACTATATACGCTGGAAAACCTGTTCCTCGCGCCTATGCCTTCAATAATATAAAATGAATTTCTCTCATCAATGCGAGGCTAGGGTTTCCTAACGTCATGTTATTAAAATTCGGCGCCATCTGTACAGTCGGCATATAACTTGTCAACTGCTGCACAAAAACAACGGAAAGGGCTTAGGACACATAAGAATATAATATTCGTATGAATGGCAACGGAAAAAGGAGCTGGTTGAGTAGTCGGGTCGAAGTCGAGGCCACAGTACTGCGCTTTAATGTTATAAAATCATTTTGAGTAGTGCAAGAAACGGAAATTTCTCAATGGGAAGTACCGGATTATCTCTGAGTCAAAATTGACTTCTCGCATGAATATAACATTTAATCATGGGTTAAGTGTCTGCAGTTACCATATGCTAATGAGGCAAAATGTGGACCCAATATGGTCTAAGCGCTCGTACGCGACCACCTCCGTAAGCGCTTACGGAAAGTTCTACTGTATTAAGCTTTTTTACACATAGCTTGCTTATTCAGCTTGAAAACCTCTCTTCTTTCCTTTGGTCCACGTGTGTGTGGTGGCCACAGAAAGACGGAGACAGCTGCATGCAAAATTACTTACAGTACTCGAGATAGCAGACGGCAGTAATCCCCACATTTCCACGATAAATCTTATGAGGGATTCAGTCCCAGAATTTTTGACCCGATTCAATGTAATTGTAAAGCTGCACGTTTAGAGATCGAAATTATAAGGAGACTAGAATGTGGGGTTTTCCCGCTCCCTATGGAATTATAGCAACAGTCCATCAAAGATAATCCCCGCATGAACTAGACAACTCCCTTCAGACAGAGGTTGGCGGAAAGAACAGCAAAGTTCAGGAGATAACAAGATTATCTGACAAGTTTGGCTGGAAAATGTATCTGTGCTCTCAGTTGGAAGTATCGATCGTTACAAGAATGCATAGAATTTCGATTCGGGAGGTTTGTGACCTTCTTCGCAATCCTGGGCATTTATTATTGTATCGATTACTATTATATTTTTGGTCTTGTGGGGGCGTATATCACTTAAGAGGGTTAAATTCAAAACTGAAGGCGTGAACTCAATTTCCTCTAGCAAGCTTAAAGAAAAACATTCGAAATTTAAAGTAAAGAAGACCATAGATTTTAAAAAGGTCAATATTGATTTCATTTTACGAACTGCGCATTTATCGCTCTCCCTAACATCAATCACCGATTCTGGTATCAAAGAACGAGTTTGAACCTTTCTGGCGCATCTTACGCAGGATGAATTCTTTTGATTTCTCAGCAAGTCACCTTTTTTTTTAAATAACAAATGATAGAGCCCTTGATCAGCTTGACAGGAAGAAACGTGACTTTGGACGCTACCCGGCCCTCCGACAACACCCTTTTCACAATCTCACCTCTTGGCTTACAAGTCACATAGTGCTGTTGAACTTCATCAGAATCGTGACAGGGGCTTGTCAAACCTCGTATTACATACAATCTAAACATTTATTTTTATACAAATGGATCTATGTGTTTTGCGTGGGAGTTGGAAGACTTCCGCTTACTTCGCGTGGGATGCGGTCTACATGTTTTGCGCGGGAGGCATTTGTTACAGTTGACTGCATTAGCTACTACAGTAGAACCTCGATTTATCGAACCTCTATTTAAGTTAAGATAAGATAACGAAGTCCTCGATGTAACGACAGATAAGTCCAGGATTAAACGCTAATGAGATTCAAATTCCTTATGATAAGCATCACAAAGTGTCGTCATTGGTAAAAAGTCACTAAAACACACATAATTCTGTCAAATATGAAATATTATGAAAATGTCAAATTACCCTGCCAAATATGAAGTACTTGCGTTCAATCCTGGACATAAGAGTATAACAAACGATATTCTTCCCCAGTAATAGTAAAATATATGGAAAAGAACCCCGATACAACGAAACCTCGTTATAGGCAAGCATATTTTGCCAGTCCCTTGACCCTTTGTTACTGTACTGAGTCGTTACTGGGTTTCTAGTTTTAAGCTGATGAGTGGTGATAAGATGAGGGCTGTTTATCACATAACGCATATTTCAAGAGTACCTTCAGTTGGTCAGATACAGGATGTTCATTGAGTCAATTACTGCGTAACAATGCCGGTATATAACAGACATGTTTGCTATTTAGATCACCAAATTGGCAAATATTAGCTGTAATGTCGCTGTAATTTACCAGTAAACCACCCTTAAGTTTAAAATTAATTTATCTTGTTGCAGTATTTTTAAAGTGAAATTTCCGCTCAAGACCAAAACAGTGAGTATAGAAATGTTAATTTTTTTTACAATTCGGCTGAAATCATTATTAAACAAAATTAGTTAATACCATGAGCCGTGGGCCACTGCTGACGACCTTTCTGTTTGGATCATACTAATTACTCCTCAATTGAGTCCCATGATTTTCTTTTTTTGTTGCCTGCCCAAGCTCCTCCTACACAAAATATTTCTGCTAAGTTCGAACTCAAGAAAACTAAACCTTGCGAACTCTATCATCTAAACATTCCCCTAATTGTGGAAGGTACAACGATTCTGAATTGAAGCGTTACGCTTGAGGCCAGAGCAAATCCTGGTTAAAAGTTTTAAAAGAAGCATTCACCGAATCATAAAAGTGAGTGTAACTGACGGGCACAGTTATACAAAAAACAAACCTATTCATATCGAAACTTCACGTGCTTTTCTGAAGATCAGAAGAGTAAACAATTTTGACGAGATGAGAAAAAGGCTAGACTTGCAGACAGCCCAGTCTTTGCTTACTCCACTAGTGTGTAACACAACCGAAACGGTAATGCGAATGATGATCAATGATATTCGGAAACATATATATATATATATAAAAATAAACAAGGAGTGAAACCTTACCTTATGATACAAGATCAGAGCAGTGATGAGTTCTTCTCAGCGTTCAGAGCAGACTTACTAGGCATGTAAAACCGAAGCCCGTGTAAACTAGTGTGATATCTATTGCATTATATACAAATGCTCTTCACAGTGACTGACATTTACTCAATTCTGGGACCTGTGCAATGCGGAAAAATTGAACGCTGAAAACTGAGAAGTCTTCCGGGGTAAATCCTGGGCCTGGACTCAATTCACTTCCTCTTTAGACTGAGCTGTCCATTCCTTCGTCCTTTGGTCCAGAAGCACTAACTAACGTTCGAATTGTTTTAAGACCCCCTGAAGTTTTACCTTGAGCGAATGGCCGAAATCTTATCCAGGTTTATACCGAAACTACAGCAACCCAGAGCTAGCTAATCTAGAGCTTAGTGACAACTTGGAAAGGTCATATAGTGAGATTACTCCGAGATTATTTGATGTTATTTTAACGTAGGCGAAAAACAACTGGCGTGGGTTGAAGTCCTTTTATCTCGTCATCGCCTGTTGTTTTTCAACCTTACGTCACTTATGACATCGCTTTTTTCGCCCGTATTTTGTTACCGTATGAGCCGATGTTTTTTGTGTTGGAAGCTTCGGTAAACGGTTAGTTTTTTTTGCCGCTTCATAATCCATGGACTAATAAATTACTTTGTTAAAGAAGTATATCTAAAAGCCTACGATAGAGTCAGTAATTTCTGTAGATTACAAATATACTGAAATCTGAATAGTTCACAAGGAGAAGTTACCGATCACCGGCCAAAGCCTTTGTACAATGCTGAATAATAGTTTCCTTCGAAGTTGTGGCCGGATATGAGTAGCAAAATTAAGTGGCTATGAACGTCTATGAATATTGGCTTTCATTCACCCACGCTTTGCCCAGTGCTTAAAATTATTCGGTCTGATAACTACACCCAGTATCCACCAAGCAAATCAAACACTCGGACAGTCACAATTTGAGTTCGCGCGAATAAATTGAAAGCGCATATTTCAAGTTTTCGAGTTTTTTTTTTTTTTTTTTACGGGAGAAAGGCAAAAACAAGGCCTTGTAACGTGCCTTCGCTGCAATCTTGCTAACTTACCTCAGCAACGAAACGAATGAATCTAATAACTAAATGGCTTTGTTCTCGCCAGTCGGAAGCATGCACCACGGAATTTATTTTTCTGCTCTCATTACGTAGTACATGGACCCCGGGGGCCAGGCCATCTACGTGACAAAAAAAGATGTTTACTGGTATAAAATGTGTTTTAAATGACCTTAACCTAAATTTAGAAGCGATTGAAAATATCTACTAGTAGCGCAAATGAGCTAAACGGAAGGAAAAATATCTCCCTACAGACGTATTCAATTGCATGTTCGGCGTTCTGACATGCACGAGTAATCAGGTAACAAGACATAAATTTATGATTAATAAATGATATTTTACGTCTCGCAAGAACGACATTGACGTGCCAAATGTTGTGCATGCATGGCTACTGGCACGCTATTTGTCGTAACAATACAATCGTAAGCCCATACTATTTGACTTAAATCCAGTGTCACTAAGAAAACACCAATTTCATGTTCGGGAAAATTATGTTTGCATCTATTTTTTTTTTCCTTTTCGGCGTATTTTTTGTATTATATAAGACTAGTGGCACGTGTTTCAGCTCATGATTCGGAGCGGTTTATTTTACTTTAATACAATAATGAGCAATTCCTATTGGAATTGAAACCAGAACCACAATGTAAGGCAAAATGGTTCTCTTATTTGGTAAACTTAACTACACATATTTATTAGCTTCCCTCACAGGCTGGGACTGAGTTTATAAAGTCATAGTTTTTGTATAGGAAGAAGCAAAAAAAAAAAAAACAAAGACATGCCAAAAGAGGGCAGGGTGGGTGTAAACCGAATCTGCTTTCGGGAGTGCCTTCGGTGAGAATCAGGTAGCAGAAATTTTTATCAAATTAAGAAGGCGTTTCCATTTATGTTTTCACCTGAACAGCATCTTCAAGTGATCTGAATATAACCTCTACATCATGAGCATATCACGACTGCAATGAGTTATGCAGAGCCCGCGGTTTTACGTCACGATTCTCTAGGCTGGTGATTATCTATCGTTTACCAGCACTTTACCGTTAGCGTTTCTTACAATCACAACAATGAATTTGCTAAATTAATTAATCCTTGATTATATCAGCGATGTTCGCACCATTTTGGCAAAAGCAATGAATCTACACACATGCGGCGCTTAATGAACCAATCAAGCATTTCACCCCAGGTAAGCTGCAAAACGTGCCTTCAAATTTTATTTTTTTTCCAAAAAAAAAAACACAAATAAAGTCGATGCCAAAAATGGAGTTTTTTCATATGTAGGTAAATATGTGTGGTAATTATCATGGTAAATATGCACTGTATTATCATGACGCTGTTCTTCCGTCGCTCTTAACTTTTTAAAGCGAGCGGAGATAAGTGGCCATGAGACTCGACTGATTCGCAACTTTTTTTAAAATTCCTCCTTTTAACACCTCTACGGGACAAACGACTTTCTACTATCGAACAGAGTCATTATGGAATAGTTTAGAAAGAAATCTTAAGCTAAGCGAATCTCTGAATATTATTAAACGAATACCATATTGTCACATAATTCTACCTTAGGCCCGGTTCAGACGCCGAACTTTTCATGAGCCGAAATTAATTCGAATTTGGACCGACTCAAATTATCAAAAGTACGCCTGATGATTCAGACGTCGAACTTAATTCAACCGAACCAAAACACATCGAAACATCAGCGGTTTTCAGACAAGGTGTATGCATTAGGTTCGGCTCATGAAAAGTTCGACTTCTGAATCAAAGCCGTTCCAAAGCCGAAATTCCCAGCTGAGCTAGGCGGGAAGAACGGCTGAGCCGTTCCAAATTCAAACAGCGGTTCTTAACTGATTCAGACACTGAACTTTTCATGTACTTAATTCAACGCATTAGGTTCGGCTCATGAAAAGTTCGGCGTTCGGCCTTATTTCATATCATTTCTATAATTGCTTGGTACGTTGATTTATTTCATTTTGATTTTAATGTAACTTATTAAGTAGTATTAGTACTGAAAAGCCCCCTTGGGGAGTGCTAATAAAATTTGTACCGTACTATCAAACCGATCTCTGAATGCCTTTTTCAGGTACTTACCTCGATCTATTCCTGCCTGAAGGTTGGTACTGGCCAGCCGAAATGCCACATTAAATCGAGTTAAATTCTACATTACGTCGGCTTAACTTGCTGAAATTTTCATTTATATATTCACTTGATGAATCTATGGGCCAAGGTGCACCGGCAGGCCGATTATTGTTCGTGCTTGCTTGTAGTAACTCTTTTTGTTATAATTAGGAATTATCTGTTTGGTAAGGCCCGGCTTCTTTTGGCTCTTTTCTTAAGGACACGCTTGGGTTGCTCAAGTAGTTTTAGACTGAGTGAACAAATAACTCGTGGCCTAATTCCTTGGTAAATCGGCCTCTTGTACAAATAGAAATGAAAGAGCCATTGCCTCTACATACACTCTTTTTTATATAAGGATATTGTTTTTGCCGATTTAGGCTGAAAATATTCCTGAGTATTCTTAGATTACAGCATATGGCATTTGCGTTTTATTGACTTTGGTGGCGTTGAAGTAATTTTGGAGCCAGGCTGCATGCAATAAAGCTTGATATGACGCACATAACTTCTTACAGAAATGTCATTAGTATCCAACACACGGCTAGTGCTGTTTTTGTATATATCCTTATAAAAAGAAGAGCGCATCGTACGTACGTAACAAATACAAGGAAAGAGTTTACTTGAAAAATTGTAAGTGACAGATGAATTCCTTTTTTCTTTCTCTCGGCGAGAGATGGGCGGAATGCAGCGGATCCCGCGCGCACACTGATCGGTTTCCGAGAGCGAGGAACGGTCCCGTTTAATTGTAGCCTCCTACGCGGACGTCTTTGGGCTCGTCACGCAATCCTTCCCACGTGACCAGCCCAGGGACCGTCCGCGTGGGAAGCTCCAGTTATCGGATAGTCTATCCTGTAATCCTCAGGTGAACGACATTTTAGCTATGCGTGAAAGTCGATGCGAAGAATTGAGTTTTTACCATATATAGGTAAATATGCATTGTAATTAAACGACTTGCAATTTGTAAAAATTAATTTTATAAATGAAATGTCCATAGATCATAAAAATTAAGCTTTTCGAAACGCTTTTCAAAGCTAGCTTTGCATTCTTGTGAGAACGGACAACTTTGGCGTCATGCTAATCATGTGATATCCCTGCCTGAGTTCTTGTCAAACACAAATCCAAGGTGAACGGTGTTTGTTGCGGTTTTAAATTCCTCCGGCGCAGTGTGAACGATGGCTCAGTCGGTCAAGGTCACGTCATTTTGTAAAACTTATTGTTTAGCGCCTAAGATTTTTCACTCAGTTCACCTAGAGCAATGCTCAATGACTTTATACACCTCAAGAGTTCCTCGGTGGATCTTGTCCGCTTAATTAATCGTAGAATACTACATAACTTGTCAATAAGGCGTGCTTTCACCAGAATGCGAGTGCTATGTGCTCTGTTAACTTTTGCTGTACCGCCATTGGAACTGATGGCCATCGCTGGCGGCGAACTGTGATAGGCTTCTACTCGAGTAGGAAAACAAGTGGTATCTAGCAGTTGATCTGCCGACTGCTGAGTCTGTCCATTGGTGTTTTGGCTCATCTGGACACTTACTGCATCGTTTTGTTGTCGTGTGGGAGGACAGGAAGATGAAAGGTCAGTCGTAACGCGTGTATTTGCTGCTGCATTTTCCCCCGCTGTGGTTATTAACGGCCAGGTGGTCCTTTCCTGGGTGTTTGTCGTCAAGGTGCTTTCATGATATGTTGGTAAAGGTTCCACAAAACCGTACCACGGTGAAGAAGCTGCATCACTTGCGACGTTAATGTTGGATTGAAAAACATTGTTTTCATTGGGACGACGGTGAGGTGAATTTGTTCCTGACAAGGTGTTATGAAACGGAGCTGGATTGCTGATGGTTGTGTTGGAAGTCATTGGCGGAAGGCTGCCCATGCTGATTACGGGTCTTGAGAGTGACATCGATGTTGGTGTTGCTAATGTTAGGTTAGGAGTCGATTCTCTGTCTTGATTGTTGCTTAAAGACTCAAGACAGCCCTGTGGTCTTGCTGTCGCCGCAATGGCTCTTCCTATCGATGCGGAACCTACTGCAGATTGGTCGTCATTGACTATACCGTCTAAACACTTACTCAGATTAAGTTGAACTCTTTCATGAGTATCCGGCTTTGCTCCCATGCAAAAAGGGATGCGACAGTTGTAATCCACGCAAGATTCGGAATGCTTGGAAGCCAGATGTCTCACCTCTTGACAAATGGTGCAACTGAGTTTTTTGCATCCTTGTGAATGTTGTAACTTTAGCTTGGTGTTTACACAAAGTGGGAGAATACAGCTGGGATTTGAACAGTTCAAAGCATGCTGAAGGAACTGCTGGAGATTGCTGAATACCCATCCAGCTCCTTGCTTTTGTTCTGCCATTCACGGACCTCAGACAAGATCTGACGAGTTAAAATGCATATACTGATTAGATTTAAGTAATGACTGATCGGAGTAATGGCCTTTCCCAATTGCTATATGAATGTTTACCGGTACCCGAAAGAAATTAATTCAAGCCTGTGTTTTAAAAGGGACCGAAACGAACAGTTGGGTGAGCTTCATTTCATCTTGGGGGCGGGGTAGGAAGGAGGGAAGGGGGCATAATTTCTATAGGGGACAGGCCAGTGAGGGAAGGGAAGTTTGAGTCCTGAGTTAGCCCGGTGAAACACGGGGGCCTCTCATAGTTCTTGGTAAGATTGATCAAATGGGCCGGTAGTGTTGACAGACGGCAGCAGATAGACTAAAGGCCCCGTCCACACTTCGATCACCGGTCAAATTGGATTTGAACAATTACCCAGAATATTTTGCCACCACGCAAAACGGATAGAACCAAGAAACTCTGGCCTTGCAATATGCTGCTAACGTATCATTTTGTTAGACAAGTGAAACTTAAAAAACGTTTCGGTAGACTGCTGTCATCATCTGGTACTGAATTTAGCAAGGCCGACTACGCGTAGGAAACCTTAACGCGGGACAACGACATGATTAAGTCCAGAGTGAAAGCCAAGAAGCAACCGTGGACAGGCTTTTTGAGACTCAACCATACGAGAACCAACCAGGTTAGCGTATTAGCTGCTGACCACGGTTGCATCTTCGCTTTCAGTTTGGACTCTATCACAGTCGTTGTCGAATTCATTGTTCTACTTAGGCCCTGCACACACTACGCTAGCGAAATTTAAAAGCGGCGTTTTCTCACTGAAAACGCATCAAATGTTCTTCGTCCACACTACGCCGGAGAAATTTAAAGACGGTCTTTTCAGTCAGAAAACGCATGAAATATTTATTATCGTGACGCCATCGTTTTTCGAAAAGCTCCGTTCTCAAAATATTTTCCATCCACACGAAAACGAAAAGCCGGCGTTTTCAAAATCCTCCGATTTAAAGAGCGTTTTCGAAGAGCTTCATTTGCGTGACAGATTAGTGTGGACGGTAGACCTAACTGCAGAAATAAAGCTGCGTTTTTAACTTTCTCTCGAGTAGTTTGGGCGGCGCCGCAGCTGTTCGTTTCGTAAACGGTCGATGCCATTTTTGCGACACTTAGAAATTTTTTTTTTAACTATCAACAGGGGCCATAATCGGGGACGGAGACCCTAAGCGCCTGCCATTTCTAGTATTGGGGCTGTTCCCATGATATGGGACAATTTTCCTATTTTTAGAACAAATTGCGCTATCGCGTGCCGCACACGCGCTTACATGCTGCGTGGATTTTTGCGGATGTAGCGCGGGGGAAATGCGTCCAAAACCCCCGAATTTTTTGATATTTTTGGTCCACAACTCAATACATTTATGTCTATTGGAATTTTGCTTAAATATTTTCGTCGTAAGCTGTTCCAATTTGAGTGAGGTAAGACCGCGTCGAATTTAGATATGTCCCGCTTTATATCACTAACCAAGTTGGTTAGCTGCTTCTTTTACAAGAACACCAAATAAATTACTCCACTCTAAATTTCACATATAATGAAGATTAACAGCTTTTCCATAACACAGCGAAAAACTAGTTGGATATATTTGGATATAGCGGTGTTTTATAACTTCAAAGTTTTCCTCCTCTTACCAGACGCTCGCGGGGATTTCGCCAAAGTCTTTCGCGACCAAAAAATAAAACAAAATTGCAAGTTTGAGTTTCACCTGAATTGTAAGTAACGCTTGATGTTTAATCAAGGCCCAATAAGTTTACATCTGTAGTTACTGCTCAGTTTTGTTTGTGTAAAAATCCAATAAATTGTCTGTTGTCGATGGATAAGGGGCCCCGTCGATGTGTATGTTGTACAGTCAGTAAACATGACAAATTGGACTTCCGCACCCTCGTGTGAAAACGTTCATCGAACTCATACAATATCTCTATAGTTTTTAAATATGTTTAAGGTCGATAAATGTTTGAGAACTTATTAAAAGGTTAGCTGAAAATATGTGAATACAGCAGAAATAATCAGCAACGTTACGTTGACGTTCTCTTTATTCAACATCGGATAACGGTTTCGATTTTGTTGGTCGAGTTATCAAAACGCCTTGTCTATTTTATTTTTGCAGTGTAAAACTTCGCCATGTTGAAGAAACACACATGATGTTAGTAGTCTTTGGCGTTGGTGAAAATAAAATTGTTGCAGCATCTCAGCACAAAAGACAACGAAAGAAATCTTTTTCAAGATTTGTTGACAATTGAAAACACCTACTCGGACTTGAAAGTATACGCCCTGCACTATGCAAATGAGCTAATTGTAGGCGTCAGACTTTCCTTTCAAAAACTTTTGCAAACTCGCCAAACAAGCAGAAACAATAAGAAACCATCAAAAACAAGTTTTGGTTATGATTAAGCATTGTTTGAGAAACTCACAAATTAACTCGATACCAGAGTAGAGAGTTTCCTTGTTATATTCTTAAGTCAGAACAAACGCGAAAGAATACGCGTAAGTTTACAATTAGCGCGAGCAGATCTTATTATTCATTCCCAGCGCGAATATTTTAGATCTTGAAAATATCACCTTTTCCATTAGCGCAGAGCATAAAACTACATATAAGCGCCCTGGTTCTTAGTCCCTGCCTTATTCAACGCCATCGCTGTGACAAATCCGCAATAGAATCTCGCAACTCTCACCATTTGATCACGCAACCTGACAACATCCACACGAGAACCCACGACGTGTGCGTGGATCTGCGCGGATATATGTCGTCAGAATGGCGCAATTTGTTCTAAAAATAGCAAAATGTTGGCACATCATAGGTGCGTGCGGATCCCAAGACTTACGGTCTCCGTCCCCGATTATGGCTCCTGCTATCAACGAGTTTTTCCCTATTAAATTAAAGAAAAAAAATTGTATGTAACCACCCTAGGACTTGCCACAAGTTGCTCGAGATTTCCCAAAAAGTTGCCCGAAATTTCTCAAAGTTGCTCAAAAGTTGCTCCAAAAAAAGTCAAAAGTTGCTTTTTGTAACGAAAGTTGCTCAAAAGTTGCTACAAAGAGGAAAAACTTTTTTTGTCGCTCTCTTCTTTTATTTGGTCTGATGCAAATATATGCAATCTGTACAACAAAAGTAAAATTTCTGAGCATTTTTGTGCAATTTTGCGTTGTAACCAGCGTCGCTGAATAAATTTGTTCACAATACGTACGAGTAAATACTACGCATCAATATTAATATGACAATATTAATCTTGTAAAAATCCTATTACGAGCCAGTAAAATTGTCGTTGCTGTTCACGGTCAAGACTTCTAACCATTTTCATTTTCGCTGGAGTACTCAGTCTTGCCCCTGCATATGCGGCTACCCTCAAAGGATCTGAATGACCTTCGTAGCCTGAAACACTCGAATCAGTGGAGCGTGAATCTTCGTCCGCCATTTTGGATTTTCTTTAAAAAACCGCTGACCTAACAGCCCGGCTACATACATCTTTCGCCCATGATCTGCCGCAGGGGGGAGGAACTGCTCCTTTTTCACAGGAAATTCACAAATTGTCCACTGAAACATTGTAAAATATGGAGGCATGGCCAATTAAAGCCCTAAAAGCTGCTCCGATATCTAGAAAACTAGAAATTGCTCAGAATGCGAAAAGTTGCTCGAAACAAAAAAAGTTCCTCGAAATACGAAAAGTTGCCCAAAAGTTGCCATGCAACTTGTGGCAAGCCCTAAACCAACCAGTATCGAACCCGGAACCTGTGTTTCCTAACATCCATCTTACACCACTACACTTCCAGGTTGATCCGCCAAATCTTCACAAAATTTAAATATAAAACGCGACCTTCTTAAATATTAATAATAGAGTTACCCCAACCATTAAATAAAAGCTAACCGCAGGCAAACTAGTGTAAATATGAACAATGAAGCATTTGGAGATTGCGTTCTACCCCATCAAAAAATTGTAACCAGTTTCATCCTGGTCCAGGCTTAAGGTAATTCCCCTGAAATAAAAACTGCAAATAGATTTTTGTTCAAACTTTGTCCAATGAATATTTATCATATGAGAACTTTAATTATAAAATAAAAAAGAGGAGTGCCCGTGTTCGTTAAGGAGCAGTGAGGCATTGAAAATGTCCCATTTGACCGCATTTGGGAATGCGTTCTTATTACAAGAACGCATTCCAAGTTATTGTAAACTCTTTGTGAGCCCAGACTCATGAAAACACGCCTCAAACTACAATCAATTTTTGTGTCTGACACAATAAACTTTTTAAGTTTGATTTTGATAGACAGCTGAATCCTTGTTAAAATATTGGAACCAAATTGCTTGCCACGGCTATCAAACTGCAAAATAGAAGAGACTACAGTGCAGCTGCTATTTTCCTTATTTATTCAATTTTCAACAATAGAAATCAGATCAGTCTTTTCTCACGCAAAGCTAATGATTAAATGATTAAAATGACTGGAAAAAAATTGGGGTGCCCGAGCTCTTTAGTGAGCTATAGCCATTTCTCGACTGACAGAACTCGATATCAAGGTAAATCCGCCATGTTTTCAATGTGCGCGCTCTAATGACGCCATAAATTATGCGTGGTAAGGATGCGTAATGCAATGCTGGAGAATGACCTTAAAGACGGTACCTGCTAAATACAAAGATTTTTGCCCCGGGTTAGGGCCACGCTGAAAAAGTAGATCTTTACAAGGGCCATTGGAATCCACAAAGAAAAATTAGGGTAGCCACGCGTTTTTTCCAGATAATCAGCCTTGAATCTCAACAAAAATGCTGACATCAGCATTTTCTGTAAAAAAAGGAAAGGATATTTCTTCACAAATTTCCTTCGAAATCTCCTTTACAAACAGAAAAGCAAACACATATATAAAGGTCTTAGAACTACATGGTAAATGGTAACATAAAAACCATTTTTTGGTATGTTTTTAATAACAAAATCGTTGCAACAGCGCTTTTAGCGTCTCTGACAGCCTTCCTCTGGTTCAGCCAAAATACAGT